AGAAATGAACATGACAAGTTTCCATTTATTTATTCAACAAAAAAGAAAACTGTCACCACAACTTATGCTGCCAACCAAATGAAATAACAGGAACCAGATTTACCCCTTCACCTGAAAAGGAGGAAAACCTGACAAAATACATGAAATAGATGAATCTCAAAATGATGTGCTTCAAGAGAAAAGCCAAATTTTAAAAAATGCGTTCTTGTATATTACATTTACACAAACTTCTTGAAAATGCTAACTAATCTATAGTGTTAGTAAATCAGTGGTCACCTAGACAGGAGCTGAGACTGGGGAGAGATGGGATGCAGAGATTACAAAGGGACATCAGAAAATTTTGAGTGATGATAGGTATTTTTTTTCCATTAAGTTTACTGGCACATTTTAGGTATACAATACAGTTACATTCATCATTAGGATCTTGTACCTTTACATGATGTATCTTGGTTCTTATTTTTTCCGCATTGCTCTGCTCTCCCTTCACCCCCTCCACGCCCTCCACCCTTCCCTATTTACACCCTTCCCTATGTTTCCATCTTTTTCCTTTTCTCGTATTTTTTTCCCCTTCTTTCCTTTCCCCTAACCCTCCCACTTCCCCTACTCCTTTAGACCTTTGAGTGATGATAGATATTGTAGAGACTGCCACATGTGTCACAATTTAGCAAATTCTATAACAGGTAGTTGAGTATATGACTTCATTGAGTATATGACTTCATAAATATTATACTTCATTTGTAGAGACAGTGCCACATGTGTCACAACTTAGCAAATTATATACTTTAAAATAAGTACATGACAATTATACTTCATTTAAAGGTGTTAAAATATACTTTAGGAGCACATTCCACAATATAAGTAAACTGCTTTGTATTGCTTCACTCAGTAAAAAAGAAAAGGCAAAGTATCTGTCTTCATGGGTCATAAGATATTGAAGAATCCTTATCTTCCTGTTTCTACCCCACCACACACAAGCCCTTTTTGGTGACTACTGTGTCAGAGGGAGAAGCTGTTATCCTTAAAGAGGACTTATTAAATCACTGCCCCAGGCAAGTGCTGCTAAGGTTGGCTGATCCAAAAGTTCAAAGCTGGTCTCCGTAGTTGTTAGGAATAGGAAAATTATTTTCCTGTCTCTGTTTTCAGAGGTTATTAAAATTATTTTTTGTGGTAGTAGAGCCTATTTGGCTTTCCTCAGAAGAGCCAGCACTGGCTTTGGGCTAAATTCAAAGTTATCTGTGAAAATATTAAAAACAATATAAATGTGATATTTGGCTGCAAATGAATAAAGGCTGGATATTCTATTTCTAGTTTTGTGACTTCCCTTTTCCCTGTGACTTTCCACTTTGGGAGTTGGGGATATGTAAGTAGGAGACTTAACAGCAGGACTGGGACAACAGCAGTTGACCGTGGGGTTGGCTTGGAGTGCTAAGGCAAATTCCTTAAGCATATTCAGGTGTATAGTGGTTTGCATCAGTATGGATCAGCATAGCATCTACCCCAAAGTGGCTGACTACAGGATCTGAACCCTTCACTTCTAACTTCTGGTAGTGGCTCCTTTTCACAGCTTGTCAGTACCACCGTACAGCATGTAGGCAAATAAAGAAAATTAGATAGAAATACACTAATGTTGCAATGACTTGTGGATTTTTCCCACTAAAATATCCATTCACAAGTTATGTTAGTTCCTAACCAGAGCTCTTTGAAAATGTTGCTTTACAAGCTTCCCGTCTGCTGTTAACCATGATTTTATTGTAAATCAACACTGTAACTGTAGTGATTTAAAAAAATCTGTGTATTTGCTAAAATCATGAGAATAGCAGCTAAAATCTTTGTTGAGTTGTACCATCAAAAGCACTGAAGGCCGGGCATGGTGGTGGATGCCAGTAACCCCAGTACTTGGGAACCTGAGGCAGGAGGATTGCTATGAGTCTGAAGCCAGCCTGGGCTACATAGTTGAGTTCAAGGCCAGCCTGAACTATGTAGTGTGACTGTGTTAAACAAAACCAAAACAAAACAAGGAATATCCATTTACTGAGGTCTTTAATGACTTTTGCGAAAGCTTAGTATTTGCTTTTTAGTGAAATTTAATACACTAAATTTCTGTAAGAGTAAAATTATTTTAAATACTTTTTTTTTGGTACCAGGGATCAAACTCGGGTCCTTGCACTTGCGCAGCAGGCGGCGAAACCACTGAGCTAAATCCCCGGCCAAATTATTTTAAATACTTTTTGAAAACTAACTTTAATTATCTGTTGATCATACAAAATGATTTAAAAATCAACTTACTGGACTGGGGATTTAGCTCAGTGGTACTACACCTGCCTTGCAAGTGCCAGGTCCTCAGTTCAATCCCTGGTACCAAAAAAAAAAAAAAACACCAACTAAAAATCAACTTACTAAAGCAATTTTGAGCCAGGTGGTGGTGCATACATACCTGTAATTCCAACACTTAGGGAGGCTAAAGCAGGAGGACTGCTGAGAGTTTGAGGCCAGAGTTTAAGGCCCGCCTCAACTAAATAATGAGAGACCCTGTCTCAAAAGCAATTTTGCTAAACATTTTCAAAATTTAGATGATTTGCCTGTGGATTTGGTTTTGTAATCGACAATTTTCCTTTCCATTTCTTACATAAATTATTTTCTTGTTCTACAATATTGGTATTTACACCATGGAATATAAATTATAATTGTAAGCATTCATTTTCTCTGCTTGACTTTAAAAGAGAATGTGCCTAATTTTTCACCCCTAATAAGTCTGGTAGCAAGTTTTCAAAGAAATCATTTCTCAAATTAGAGTTCCTGTCTAGTCCTTTTTTTTGTTTTTAATTTTGAACTTTCAACTTGTTCTCACCAGGAGTAGTGATGCACGCCTGAAATCCCAGCACTCGGGAGGCTGAGGCAGGAGGACTTTTGTGAGTTCAACACCAGAGTTGCACTCTACTACTGAGTCACATAGTGAGTTCAAGGCCAGAACTACATAGTGAGACCCTGTCTCAAAAAAGGAAAACAAGGGCCAGGGATTTAGCTCAGTGGTTTTACCACCTACTGCGCAAGCGCAAAGACCCAAGTTCAATCCCTGGTACCAAAAAACTCAAAACAACAACCTACTACAGTCATGTTCTAACCCTACCACTACAGCACAACTACTCTTGTCGAGATTACTAGTGACTACCATACTACTAAATTCAGTGGTCAACTCTCAGCTCTTAACTGTCTAATGAGTGTATTTGATCTTTTTCAGTGAAGTATCCCCCAACACCTTGCCCAATACTGGGGATCAAACTCAGGACCTTCCATTTGCCACTGAGCTAAACCCCCAGCCCAAACGTGAAATACTTTCTACACTGGCTTTCCAGAACCTGCACTCTTCTTGGTTTTCCTTCTACATGACTGACAGAATGAATGAGTGCTATTTTTTGTTTTTCTTTTAGCCTGTTCTTTCTCTTGTCTTAGTCAACCAGTCTTTAACCACAGGAAAATACCAACAGTAATAGTCTATTTACTTTTAAGGTCTATTTATCTTTAAACTCTTGATAAGGTTAAACAGCAGCCTTCTCAACAAAACAGAAAAACAAGCCAATAAAGTAAGACAAGTATATAGTGTTAATTTTAGATAAGCCAGCTAGAAGAAGAAAAATAAAAGGTAAGAGGAGAAAAATAAATTGTGAGGAGTGGTTGTTTTATTTTGGGTTAAATCCATACTAACCAAGCACTCTACCTACCACTGAGCTAGCTACATCCCAAGTCCATGAATTTTTGATTGCATGCAATAAAGATACTCTTAAATATATAGCTTAAAAATACCTGAGTATCAGACAGATAACATTCTAGGTAGGTAGAGGGAACAATAATTGTGAGGCTTTGTAGGAAGAAGGTGTCATGAATGTTTGAAAAGCAGAGAGGTCAGTGTGATGGGAGCTCAGTGAATAAAGGAAAATGAAAAATGAGAGGTAGAAAATTACTTTGGTATAGGCCTTTGAAAGACGTTTTTGTTTTTACCTGGAACAAAATTGGAAGCAGCTGACAGACATGTGAAGACAGAGAATTTTAAAGTAACAATCAGAGTTGCACAACCATCACAACTGGAAATGCTGGCTCCTCTGGTCAAGGTGACTGGGCAATCTTATGTGTATGGTGAAATAAGTGAAATTCAGAGCCAATACTGCTTTGAGAGTTGAAGCTGTTTATCTATTAAAGCAAGCTGGATAAGGAACAAATCACACTATCTGGAGTAAAAATGAGAATGTCTTGTATACATATAAATCATGCTATTTTCTGTATTTTATTTCTTGACATCTTAAAAAGCTTCCTAAGCAAGGTGAGATCACTCCCCCCCCACACACACCCAGGCTGTAGCTCTTAGAGGTTGCAAAGGGTTAGGCCAAAAGCAGGTCTTGCATATGCAAACCAACCAATCCTTTGTCTATAGCCCCATCTATCTCCTGTTTAACTCCCCTACAAGCCAGTACTTTCACTGTTTTATATTATCCCAGGCAAGATACTAGGCAGTGGAGACCACCATTACAGCCCAGCTCCTCTAGAATTATTTGAAATAGCCAATGCTAAACTGTTCACTCTGCCTCGCTTTTCCCTAGGAAACTTCAATTAAAGACTCTGGTCGGGCTGTTTTCTGCCTCGACTAAAATGTGGTGCTTTTTCCTATAACTCTGATGTGGCAGGTGCAGGCATGCTTGCTAGTTCCTGGGAACACAATAAACTTCTTCCTCCCAAGGCTCCTTTTAATTTCCGCCTATAGCCACACTGACATTACTACACCACATCCAACATTTACATTCTTAGAACAGTGTATAAAATAAATGCAACCAAAAAATGATAAAGCATGTATTCACTGTAAGAGAAATGGTCATACATTGAATAAATCCTTCTGGCTAGTAAAAATGTCATTATTTTTCATGTCCAGATTTTTTTTTAAGATTAAGAAAGTCAAGCCACAATTCTAAAAGTCTAAAGCATATCAATTTAAATAAAAAACCAATTCAGGGTTCTATGTAGGGTATACATTTATTAGCAGTGAAAAAGCATTTACCTAAGCTGAATGTTACAAAATACAAAGTTATCACCAGTCTGGCTAGTTCATTATTTTAGGTATTATCCCAACCTGCACAGGGTTCTCTTTTATTTTGACATTTTCTCCCTCTATCTCTAACCAAATTTTTAACTTAAAAATTAAGACAAACAGGAATATTTAACGCCTCTTTAAAAATAGTTACTAGGAAAAACATTGAACAAGTCACCTGCTCTCAAGCCCTAGATATTTTAAAACTAAAGTATCAATAAAATAGAAAAACAATAGACTAGACAGCAGTTATAAGTCAAGTAAGCTAGTTTAATAAGGTTTTTAGGTACCATGGTAGTAAGTAGACAGCAGCTACAACGTAAGTCAAATAAGCTAGTTTAATGAGTTTTTTAGGTACTATGGTAATGACTACCATATTAAACACAATTCTTCCACTGTATCCTTAATATGCATGCAGGGAAAGACAGCTGTAATATGTAAGGCTTGGCTTAAGTATCAAATGAAGTTTTCCCCTCTTCCTATTGAAGAGAGTTTAGAAAATACAGAGCTTGAGTATACATACAATGTAACTTATTGATCCAAATTCCCTGAAGTCAGTCCAACTAGGTAAGAATTCCTCATTCTGGACTGGTACTTCTCTGAATGGGTTTTATTAAGGTTGGAGATACAAGTCTTACATAATTTAAACTAAGTAGCAATACAGTAAATCTCCTCATAGGGGAAATCCTCATTTAATATTTCCTGATTCAAGATTATAGTTTATGCTATATAAAGTATCACACAAGTAAGAATTTTAAAAGAATATCAAGCAAATTTTTTCATTTGGGATAGCTAAGACAACTGTCTTCAAATTTAAAAGATACTTGGGCACTAAGATCTAATTCTTCACATTTTATTCAAGGAAGCATCTGTAAGACTGACTTATTCATTGTTACCTGGCTCTGTCAGGCCTAAGTGAGTCTATGGTAAGATTGGGATAAAACAGTAAGTCACCTTTTAAAAGTTGGTTTACTTATAGTGAAGTCACATAGATTTTTTTTATTCAGTACTTCAATACTTCTCCTGTGAACCTGCTTCTCTCTCACTACGCACAAAAATCAAAGGTTAGGCTTTGGTTTTAAACTATCATTTAAAATAGGCAAGCTTGTCCAAAGGCATACAGAACCTTAATGTTCTGTTACATAATTTAAATCTACTTATCCCTACTTGAAAGAGTTTGGTCTTTCATTTAAAATTGACCAAAATGTTACTTGCCTGTGCAGAAATACTCCCTGATTGTATTTTTTAATTTTTAAACTGAAGGAACATAGATAGGATTTGCAAATCTAGAAAATATTCATTTAATAGACAATTATGTAAGTTCTAGGTACTGATGATTTATGTTTTAAACTTAGGCATTTTAAATAGATTACTAATAAATATTCTATGATAACTTCACAAGTACTTTGGATATCTTTATCATACACATTTTTTAGGGGGGCACTGGGATGATTCTAGGGATCCAACCAAAGACCTTGTGCATACTAGGCAAGTGTTCAACCTCTGAGCTACATTCCCAGTCCTGCCCTATTCTTACACAGGAATAGGACCTGCAGATATCTAAAAGAACACTAGGCATATCGGCAGCAACAATGATATTATTTGGAAGATGGGGCTAATGGCTGGGTTCTATAATAATATATTTAATTCCTGATCATTGCTTTCGTTGAGTTGCCTAAAATTATACAGAACAGTAATTTGCTGTATTGAATTCAACATAATTTCCAAAGAAAGATACAGGTAAGTTCAAATTTTATTTAAGTCTACATTTTAAATTTAACATTACCAAACATCACAATGAGGAAAATAAAAGAACCCAGAACACAAAAGAAAAAGATAAAAGAAAAAAACAATATCCCCACAGTGTATCAAGGCTTGAGAATTCAGTTTCTGATGTATAAACTGCCATGGGCAGAAATTAGCACATCTATCAAAAATGCAGTGTCAAACTAATTTACATTTTTATACAGATCAAAATGTGTTTATTTAGTATCGTTTTCATGTATGCACTATGTAAAGAAAGAATCAGATGAACCTCTGAAGACATCTCATAGACTCTGGGCTCCCACTGTTTCTGAAAAACAGAATATTAATGTCTCATAAATTCCTTATTGAATTAAGACTATTTACAAAAATTTATTTATTTATGGTACTAGGGATCGAACTCAGGATCTTGTGCCTGTGAGGCAGGCCAGCGGCAGCACTGAGCTAAATCCCTGGCCCCAAAAATTTACTTTTAACATTGTTCTCGGGCCCAGGGATTTAGCTCAGTGGCACAGCGTCTGCCTGGCAAGTGTGAGATCCTGAGTTCGATCCCCAGTACCAAAAAACAAAAACACTGTTCTCATCCATTAAAGCCTTTAAGTGTAATAAACGATTAAAGGGAAATCCTAATTTAGCTCAAGTTCCCTGATACACAGGAAAAAAGAAAGGAGAGTATTTCTTTTTCATTATGGCAGACTGAGCAGCCACTTCCTGTCTCAAAAAATAAACAAAAACACCATATCAAAAAAAAAAAACAGCTATTAAAATAATTAAGAATAGACCAATAGACCAACGAAAGATGAGAGGTTGTGAGAAAAGGAGATATGAACAAAGAATAACCACAAAGTCCAAAACAGATGGGGCATAGCACAAAACAGGGAGTTGCAGCCTAGACTATTAGGACAGACTGCAGCTGAGATATATGCAATGTAATGAAACATGCAGAACTGAGCTGAAAACTGGGCCCTTAACTGAAGGTTTGATATCTGAATGGTCTGCCCTTCTCTTCACCCCATTATCAGAAAAAATAAAGGGAGGACAAAAAGAGAAAGCCCTTTGATCTTGATGCAAGAAACATTCTCTGAGTAGCTCCAGGGTTCTGCTATTCTACCCAGAGAAGGAAATCTGGGACTATCTCTTGGCTCTATGATGAATGATATTATCTGGCATCAACCTCAAGAAAAGTGTATAAAATTTATTATAGCTATAAAAAGAAAAGAGGAAGGGTAATGACTAAAGATGAGAGAGTTTTTGTGTATAGTACACATACACACACCTTTTTTTAAAGTAACAAAGGTTAAAAAGCAGAAAAACCCAAGTAATATGAACATAAAGAGGAGAGAGAGGTCTAAATTCACATTTATTTTAAGGAAGATGAGAAATATTATTTGAGTTTCAAGTACTTAGAAAAAGATCGTAAAGTATCAGAATTATAGTTTTTTCCAAAAGAACAAGCAATAATAAAAAGAGAAGGTTCTTGTTGCTTATCATTAACTTTTCTCTTAGTAGTAAAGACTGAATCCAGAGCCTCTGCATTGAGCTACATCCCCTGTTTGTTTGATCTGTCTACCTATTCTACCTACCTACATACCTATCTTGAAAGTGGCTCTAAGTCGCCCAGGCTGAGCCTGAACTTGCCATCCTCCTGCCTCAGGCTCTCAGAATGCTGGGATTATAGGGATGTGCCACCATGCCTGGCATCATTAATTCTTTTGTGCCTTTCTTTCTTAAACCATTAGCATGATATATTACCCTGCTAAAATTAAAGATTTTAAAAATAGAAGAAATTATCTGATATCATTAAATTAGTATCAGTAAATCAATAAGCAGTTGAACTAAAATTTTTCCAGAATGACTGTTTTCTAATAGTAGGCTTAAATTTCCCAGGTACTAGTACAACATTTGAAAAATAAGCAGAAATGATAGCATTATTCATGATTCAATAATTTTCAATTTAAAATAAAATTGGTAACTCTTACCAGGTTCTTTTAGTGTCTGAGAATTTCCAGCTAATTCTTCAGTCTGCATTTCACATATTTCACCAGATAAATGGTTTTTCTGTTCTTCTTCTACCATTTTCCTCCTAAGATCTGCCTTTGGAATAAAAATTTAAAACTTAAATCATTTTTCATTTCAAAAGTATCTGTTATACAGAAAGCTTCAGTTAAAGAGAGTCACATACCTCTGAATATATCGTCAGTTTAAGTGGTAAATCTTCAACTTTCACAAAGTCTTCTTCATCAGACTTTTGACTTATGTTACCAGATTCTGCTTCCTGTAAGATAAATTATATTTAATTTTAAAGGTGCAATCTCTGGATCTAAATTTGAGTTATCTATGCCAAGAAATAAAGTAGACTCATAGGTAAGTATATATGAGTAATTATATCATATTTTATTTTCTTCTATCATATTTTATTTTCTTCTATGTTCACACTTACATGAATAAATCAGAAATCTAGAGTTCTCAAGAAGGGTTAACTATCTGCAGCTGTCAGCATACTGCTAGCAGTTTTTATTCCCCATTTTATTTTACTTTTTGAAAAAAGCCAGTTTACACAAGACAGGCTAAGGTACTAGAAAACAATTCTTGTTTTTTGATGTTTATAAAATACACCTAAGCTATATACCCAGCAGAATATAAGTAAACATTTACAAACTTTTCAACTTGGTTAAGACTCAATTATAAACATTAGGTGTGAATTTAGTAACTTACTCTGTAGTAACATCAAATTGTGTTTTTCTTAAACTTGATTCTTTTCTTGCCCTAGTTCTCACTTCTAATTTTTAAAAGTATAACCTTTCTACTAGGTAAATGGTACAGATAAAGTAACTGGCAAAGTTAAAGACCCTAGGTTTTTCTTTTTCTTGAATCATTCTCACTCATCTCACTCTTGTTTAGCATGTATTTCGTACTTATATATGACAGTGGATCCTCCTAACATAGCTTCCTTAACAACATATACAGACACCAGATTAATCTTCACAGACCATGACTTAGACCACTGCACCTTCTTACACAAAAAGGTTTTTTTCAGTCAGTAGGGATCTCTGGCTAAAATCCAAATTCAAGAACCTCTATCATCTGACTTCAAGTTAATTTCAACTGATTATCTTCTATGGCAACTCTACACACTGACGAAATGATAATAAGAATAAATCAGGTAATTTCTCAAATTAAATGCATAAGTTTACTGGTGGTGTGGCAAACAAAACAGCTTAGGAGAGTTAGTTACTATCTTCAAATGTTTTTGAAACAAACTTTTCACAGGAATTTTGAAATCATAATTGTAAATACATCTTTAAGAAGAAAATCAATTTTAATTTTTGAAAAATGAAGTGCATTCCTTAGATCTAAAAGTACTTGTAATCTTTTCATTTTTGCTGATAAGAGAAAGTATAAAACATACACAATCCGAGGAACAAAATTAACCTGCTTGCTATAAAACTGAACTGAAACAAAGGTCTAGAATAAAACTAAACTTACCTAATTATTATCATAAATGCAGGATTTCTAATACAAAATTATCCTTCTAGTTTCCTAAATCTGTGCAACACACATACATAGACACTCACACTCCTCCTTTACCTAGATGGTTTGAAAAGTTTAAGTAGGCTGAGTAACTACTGTATAGAGGTAAGGACCCTACTGCTGTCAAACTTATTTTGCATCCCAAATGTTAACGTTAAAAAGATATATGTCCTAAAGATATATGTCCTAAGCAGCTGAGATGGCAAAGCTGAGCAGTATAAGAGATTAATGATGACTCGTATCATTACCACCTCAGATCTGAACTTCAACTCTCTGAAAAGTGACATGTATAACTTATCTCTGGTTCTCAAAACTATAAAATGGATGGGCCAGCGATGTAGCTCAGCAGCACAGCACCTGCCTGGCAAGCTCGAGGTCCTGAGTTCAATCCCCGGTACCAAAAAAAAAAAAACAAAAAAAAAAAACTATAAAAAGGACAGTTAAGTTCTGAGACAGTCATCCTAATTCACCATCACTGTTAAAATTTAAAATTAAGTGTAAATAAGAAATAAAAATGTGGGCCCAGGATTTAGCTCAGTGGCACCGTGCCTGCCTCACAAGTGCAAGGACCTGAGTTCGATCCTCAGTAGCAAAAAAGAAAAATGTTACTGACCACTGAACATGGCTGAAGAGAGAAGCCAGCCACATTGGAGCTACTCAGAAAAAAATCAACTAAAAACACAGGTAATTGGAATAGAAATGTTTTGACAGGTTCTACACCTAAACACAAAGTGGAGTTTAGTTTATATGCTGAAAATATTAACCTGAAAATGAAGAAATATGCACAGAAATAAAAAGCTAAAGTATCTGGAAGTGTAAATGATACGTACATAGTCATTCACTAACACTGGAGATTCAGTATCGGGACTTCCAGCTAGTGAGCTTTCAGGAGTTTCCTGAGCAGATTTAACTTCTTTGACTCTAGGCACTAAGGTTTCAATTTCAGTTAAAGGTAACGGCAGAGGGTTAGGCTGCTGAGATGAATCAACAGTAGTAAGTGAGTCCTTGTGGGCAGCACTATTTAAAGGTTGCTCATTTTCCAAGATATTGAGATAACAGGGCTTCATAGGAGAGCTATCTTGGTCATCTGTCATCAAAAAAAAGTCTTAACATTAGTGTAATGATAGTAAATTTTACTCTCTATTAAACAAAATAAAGACAATATGCACAAATGACAGCAATCCAAAATCATTGAAGACCCAAAAGAAAAGGCAACTACAAATTTTTCTTAAGTCAAATTTACTTCATTAAATCCATCTGGAACATTTTAAAAATTAGATTCTTGAAACTTACCTGATTTCTAATCAGGTTTTCAGTATGGGTAAATATGAGTCAACTTTTAAAATTGCTGTTTGCAGAAACAAAGCCCTCTTATGTTTTCTACAAAAGATTTACTGGGAGAAGAAAGATACACATCAAGTCCAAAGTACCTTCAAAATTACATTAGCTAGGAATTTTTTTTTTTTTTTAGCTTTATACACATAAAGGATACTTCAGATAATCTTTAAAGTGAACAATTATTTATATTTCTTACCTTTACTAATGTGTTCTTGTTCTGATGGGATCTTCGTGCTTTCTGCTGTTTTTTCAAGTTCATGTTGTAGAACCTAGAAAGAAAAAGAAGTTTTAACAGCAAGGTCTTAAAATATGTGGTTACTGTAAAAGAGATGGTTACCACTGTGTGGTTTTTGTCCAGCCTGAGAGCTTCAAAAACAATTTAAAATATCTTCTAACTTTGTTTCAAGGAGGCTTTGGTAACAATTACAATTACAAGACAGCTATGTAAAACAGTTTTCTTCTCGGATAAACTCAAAACAATTCAGAGAACTGGAATATCATAGATTCCACATTTTAAAAATTCTTTTTCTCAGACTATCTTAAACTAAAAGTCACCTATAAAGTAGACATTAAGTGAATGGGAAAGGGAACTGTCCAGGATAGGAAGATGAACAATGCCATGTATCTTGGGAAGGAGGAAGGAAGAAAAACTGAGATTCAGTTCACAAGAAGTAGCAGTAAGAAGGAAGGAGCATGATGGTGGAGAAGGGGTTCATGATGAAAAGGGGTGGTGGTGGTAATTGTTTAAAACTGTTTTTAAGAAAAATGTGGACACCTAGGTTCTTATGCCCAATGTCAACAGAAAATGGGAGATTATAGTTTAGAGAAACTAAACTAGGGAATAAACTAAACTTAGGGCTAAAAGGTGGAATAAATAAGGCACAAATCAGAATGTGGTAAACTGTCATAGTGAAAACAGTGGGATTTAGTGCAAGTCTGCACAATGGTGGCACACTCTGCCCCATTCCCATATTTCACTCCAGAATACCAGCTTTTATGATCCAGGAAGAAGAATGAATTCTTTCAAGAAACTATAATACTCCAAAGATGACTAATAGATTCTGACATTTGGGAGTATCTATCAGAAAGCTGTTTAGCCAAATACCCTACAGAACTCAAGAGAACTCAAACCAGCCTTCTGATTAATATAAATACCCAAGGTTCAGCAGATATTTGAACAAAGCCTCCATGTGAATAAGACAAGCTATTCCTTCCATTACAGAATATGGCAGTATAAGAAAGCAATCAGAAAAAAGAAAAAGGTGTTTAGAAATTTTTTTAAATGGAAGTTTAAATAAAGAGACTTGTAACAATGCCTACTATTTTAAAATTTCAGAACTACAGGGGGAAAAAGTTTTTGGAATAGGGAAGGGAGAAAAAGACACAAAGGATGAGAACTAAGAAAGGCACGGTAGATCATGCTGTAGACAGCAACACTGGAAACTAGACCAGGAAGCAGTACTTTCAAAGATCTGAAGGAAAATATTTTCATCGCAGAAGAATTAAGATTTTCTTAAATATATAATGTCAGAAAATAAATTTTCACCTAGGCAAGGTGGTGCATGCCTGCAATCCCACCATTCTGGGAGGCTGAGGCAGAAGAACTGCAAGTTTGAGTCCAGCTTGGGCAATTTAGGGAGATCCTGTCTCAAAGCAGGTCCAATCACAGTACCACCAAACCCAACCAAATTATCTGTTCATTCTTTCTCAGAGAGTTATAGGAAAGGATGGTCCCTCAAAATGAGGTAGTAAACCAAAAGAAGACAAAAGATTAAATTCCAGAAAGAGAGATTTGAAAAGGAATATAAACAGACAAAATGGGATTCCTACTGCTAGCTAATTGGCAAGTCTAAAGAATAACCAAATCTAGAATGTAGCAAGAAGGCACATACTCCAAGAAGGGGGGAGGAGAGTTAGTTCATGTAGAAAATTCTGCTGGGAGGTTTATACAGCTACTGGAAGATACAGCAGAGTTGGGCATATGCTCAAAGAAAATAAAAAATTAAGAACTATTAAATTCAGGAGAAAGATGTATAGGCTAAACAATAAACAATATATTCTTGACTCAGCAGTCAGTAATATTTACAGTTTGGTTAAATCTAAATATTTGCATACAGATTTAACTGAAAAACAGACACATATACACTATTCAGAAATATGGAGGGGTAAACAGCAACAGAAATTGTACAAAGGGTCGCCTCTGGAATGCTATGAGGTGAAGGCAGAAATGGAAGTGATTTTATTTTTGTTACATATTATTTTCACTAATGATGAGGGAAAAATATAAAGACTAAAAACCCATACTTTCTAAAAGATGTTACAGTTTTACAGGTTTGTTACAAAAATAATAGACGAAGCAATTTCAAGTTAAACATTACTAAAAATTTTTAAAAATCAGTGTTTCAGAATTTTCATTATTTTTTTTGTTTTTATAGGCATATGGTTGCAGTACATGATTGCATTCATCATGGGGAGTTAGCACATGCACACAACATATCAATTCTTTTCAGATTCTCATTAGTATATTAAACATGCTTGTATTCATGAAAATGAGAATGTGAAATGCTGTAAATTTTGACATCTCTCAGAAGGCTCTTGCTTTCAGCAGCTGAAATGAGACTGGTGGATGTGTGTTGCCCTGCATTGGAATACCTGATCATCATGTTCATTTTCTTCTATAGTTTCAGTGTTAGCTTGAAGTGAAGTCTGGACATCTACAGGGCTCTCTTCAAATTCTTCTATTTCTTCATCCTCATTCTCATCTTCTCCACTTCCATAATTAGTTAAAGCCTGAGTTTCCGCTTTAGACAAATCTGAGTTGATTGATACACAATTTTTAGTAAATTTCAACATTTTTTTTTTGAGGTGAGGTCTCTGTTTTCTCTCAGGTTGGTCTCAAAGTCCTGAACACAAGCAAACAAACCTCCCACCTCAGCCTCTAGAATAGCTGGAACTATAATCATGCACCATTGTGTCCACATCATTTAATCTTTATAATGAATGGCTACCATTTACTGCACATCATGGGTGCTTTACATCTAATGTCTAAAATCTTCAAATCAGTAAATAAAGTACTAGAAATTGTGGGGCAAAAAGGCCAGGTAATTTACTCAGGATCAGACTGGAACTCAAATTCAGAGTTTGACACTTAATTCTATATTCATTATATCCCTCTAAACTGTTTTTAATAAGGGACCTATAAAGAACTAAGGTATAAATATGGCATGGAGCCTTTAAACTTACTAATTGACACTGGGCATCCATCACTTTCTTCATCTTCCTCTTGATCAGAAACATCAGATCTTACATTTTTGGGACCTTCGGCACCATATACCTCAGATGTCTGAGTCTGTTTAACTGTTTCAGTTTCATCTTTGTCCTGGTAGCAAATAATCTGAGTAACTAATTCCTTTAAATACTTCAAAATGGTATACAGTAAATCCTTTCATAAAAGTAATGATCATTACGTAAGAAAAATACAAAGCATCATTTTTGGCAGTCTAGTTTTTAAAAATATTTTTTGGTACTGACAACTGAACCTAGGTCCTTTACACTGAGCTACATTCTTTTTTCTAATTTTTCATTTTGAGACAGGGTCTCACTAAACTGCTAAACTGCCCAGGCTGGGCTCAAACTTGTGATCCTCCTGCCTCCTCTTCCCAGAGCACTTGGATTATAGGCATGTGCCACCATGCCCAGCTAGTTTGTTGCTTGTTTATTTTTGGTACCAGGAATCAAACTCAGGACCTTGTGCTTGCCAGGCAGGCGTGGTGTCACTGAGCTAAATCCCTGGCAAGTTTTGTTTTTAAAAGAAAAACATTTTTCAGAACAAAGAGCATTTGATTATATACTCTGGTCTTAAATATAAAGGTAAAAACTGTTAAACTTATTTCATATTTTGTTCCAAAAGCATTATTTATAGGCATAAATTAATCAAAACATACTTTGTCTTCATCATCAATCTCTCTAGCAGGTGAGCTGTGATCTCCTTCAAGAATCCTTTTGGCCTGTTAATAGATCAGTTAAACAGAATTTAGCAAAACATTTAGGTAATTCAGTAAACTTTAACAAGTGTTGCTTTTTTTTTTTAACCATCATCCAACTACTTTCTTAAAAATGTAAAGTCAAAAAAGAAATGTAAAGTCAACTATTTTAATCTTAATTAGTTATCTCTATACTAGGGATTGAACCCAGGCCTTCTACTGTATTACATCCCCAGGCCCACCCTCAACCCTCTTTTTAATTTATGTTGAGGCAGGGTCTCACTAAGTTGCTAAACCATCCAGGCTGGGCTTCAACTTGCTTTCCTCTAGCCTTAGTTAGACTCCTGGAGTGCTAGAATTACAGTCCTGTGCCACTGCCCCCGCAACTCCCACATCCTCCTTACATCTTTTAAACTGACAAAACAAAAAGTAACACTGCCCACCCAACTAACTGTTGGATATATTTAAAAAGTATCTCAAACTTAAAAGTCAAAACCAAAAAGCTTGCATTTCCTTCTCCTAAACCCTATCCTTTCTTAGTATTCTCAGCCTCAGTAAATCAGTTTATTGAGCTTGATGCACAGACCAGAGAATTAGAAATCAGCCTTTGTTTAGTATCATTATCCACATTCAAAGCATTAAAATGCCTTACTGAATTATTAAAATTAACCATTGCTGCATACCAATCTAAAAGACATTAGCTTATTTTTTTTAACTTGGACAATTTCAATTCCTAAAACTGGTCTTGCTGCTTCTATCTTTACAGTATCTGTTTAATACGTTAACCAGACAATTTCTTTTAAACTGTACATGAGATTATAATAGGAGTGCTTTTAAATTTGGGAGATTTAAAGAAAGACACAGTCCTTGTCCAACTTTCAAACTTGTTCTCTTAAATTGCTTTTTCCTTCCCTGATTTATCTCCTGTTGGGAAGGAAACTGCTCTATAAGCCCTGGGGCAATTGGGATCAGCAGAATCGGAAGTGCAACATGCATATGTATGCTTCTTTGCTTGCAGGATCCTCTAGCCTGACCCTATGCAATGTACCTCTCAGCTTCCAGCTTTTGTCCCCTCCCTAGATAATCCTAGAGCTGCTCCAATGGGGAAGACAGTTTCCTAGCTGTCTTCCTGGTCTGGCCAAACCAAGAATAAATTCTTCATTGTCTCTGTCTCTCTGTCTCTGTCTCTCTGAAAACCTGGAGGTAGCAAGTGACCAGACCAGGTCTACTAAGACCACCAGAGTCAGGCCTCTGATAAAACGATTATGTCATTCCTCTATTTCAATCTTTCCCATGGGTTTCTATCATGCTGAAAGGAAAAAGAAAAAGAAAATGGGAAAGGAAAGGTGATCCTTACTGTGGTTTCTAAGGCCTCATAACTTGGCCTTACGCATCTCTGTGACCTCATCACCTACATTCTCACTATTGTAGACAGCTAAGTTAGGCAGAGACTGCTAAGCAGTTAGAAAGGGACCCACCCCAAGATAAGAGTCAGAACAGAGACTGAGGCAAACCAGGCCTGTGGTCCTGGTCTGAGTTGATAGAACTAGGCCCCAAGATGGAGACAGAATAGGTAGGCCTAAGTACCTCCCAGAGATAAACAACAGCTCAAAGCTATATTGTGACTAGCACTATTTGGTCCAATAACCCTAAGCAACAGGACAAACACAGAAACAATGTAATGAAAATGCAGACAGATGGCCAGAACACTCTGACCCTCGCTCCTAACCCTTCCAGAAATGCCTTTGTTCACCTCCATGTTATCAATTCTTGGTACATACCTTATTTTTCTATAAAATCAGTATTAGCTAAATAACTGTACTTGTAGTCCTACAGGTTGATTGTAGTTTGATCCAAGGTAACCTGTGATGTGATGTATAAAATACCCCCAGACAAAGCCTTAGCAGCAACTCACTTTCAGGACACCTCCTGACTCTCAGGAGCTTTCTCTTAATAAAACTTCCCACTCTTAACCTCCCTTGTCCTCAACTTCATTCTCTGGTGTCCTGAGACACAAACTTGGCATATCTAACAGGTTGAGAATTACTTCCCTGTAACATTACCACATTACTTAACGTGCTTCTGAATCCATCTCTTTTTCTGATTTCCAACTGCTTAATCCTGTTTTAGAGTCATTACACAGATTTTTTCACACAAGTTCTCCTTTATCTTCACTATCCTGTTTTTCATGTCTTAGTTCATACTGCATCCCCTCAAAGACCCTTAAGAGACTACTGATCTAAAGTAGTTTGTAGAGACTGCCTTCCAATAATTTATTATGGTATAATACTTTTTTATTTTCCTTAAGCTTTTACCAATGACTGAAATGAACTTAGGTAGAGAATATAAACATGAAGAATAAAGTAGATAGCTTGAATATGTTTATATTCTAAGGAAGAAAGGCTACCTCTTTCAGTCTGAGTCTTGGCCTGCTTTCCCTCTCATGAGATAAGAAGGTCAAGAAAAGAGTACAGGCCTAGGGAAAAAGCCTCCTGATTAGCCTCACTGAGGAGGAACAAACTTCCTACTTCACATCATAAAAATTAATTTGCCAGGGCAGAAGAAAACTACAGGGATGTGAAACTAAATTCCTAACCAATAAAGATATCTGTTGGCTGGAGCAACTCAGGATGATGTATATTCTTGGAGACTCTTTGGGGATTGGCAACAGCTCATTGCAGGCACTTGGTCAAGGACTGGATCCTAGCCCTCCTCCTCTTTGGAGGACTGAATAAGTGACAAGAACGTGAACTGGATATCTGACAATTTACATTTAGCATCAATTCCTGCCTCCATTGTTGGTCATTAGCCTTTACTGTTACTCTTGAGGTTCAGTACTGTAGAACACATACTGATTTATAATGATTAAGTGATATTAAAATAACTACTTCTACTGAGATCAAAGATGACTATAGTTATTAATAATGATCAAGAACTATATTTATAGGCTAAGTATTCCTACATACAGAATGTATGTTATTTACCTCTTTGGCATAAGATTGTATTACTCCAGCTGCTTCTATTTTCCTTTTGCATCTCTGTTTAACAGTTATACTATTATTATCCAAATCTTGCATGAGCTTAAAGAAAGCCAATTCATTAAACAACACTTCAGATATCTCTACAAGAAGATCTTCTCCACAGTCTTTCAGTTTTCTGCCCGCAAATTTTGTCAGTGAATCCTATTCAAAGATAAACACAATGATTTTGAGGTCACAGAAACTTCAATTGTTGATAACAATAACAGATGATTCAAAGATTAAATTATAATACAAAAAACAGTGCTGTTTTTAAGTACTGAAAAATTTGAAACTGATGGGCTACAATTATTATTATTATTTTTTTTGGTACTGGGGATCGAACTCAGGTCCTTGTGCCTGCACAACAGGCAGCGAAACCACTGAGCTAAATCCCCAGCCCAATGGGCTACGATTATTAAGAAAATGTTAATATTACTAAAGAATATTACTGTATTACTAAGGAGAAATCTTGCTAGTCCTGCTTCAAAAGTATGCACAAGGGGAGGGAAAGAATACATGATCATCCATAAATTTAGTACCTACTTAGTATGATTCCTGGCCACAAACAACATATACTTCCTGGGCCTAATCCCCAAAAAGATCTTAGACAGTACACATATGGGAATAGATATATACTACAGTAAGAGTCATTAAGTGTGATGAGAGAAAAATACAAAATATTCCACATCCTACTGGTACCATTAGAGTATTTTTAGTTTCCTTCTTTATATTAGCCAATCATTCTAATTTAAATTTTTTCTTCAGAATAAATTTAAAAGTAAACTTTGGTTCAAGTTGAAAGACAGCATCATCAAATGAACAAGTCTCCTATATTCCACATAGCTTTTACAAAACCACTTCCCTTTTTTCCTTGAAAAGTATGTATCATGCTATGCAAAAAACAGGCAAAGAACTATGATCCTCAGTGCTCCATCACCCAAAGACATTATCGAGTTCAGTTATGGAAAATAGTACATATATATGCTGAGCGCCCTGCAGGAAAAAAATCCAATAGGATTCAGAAGGGAAAAAGACAGTAATTTTTTTTTTAGGTTTAAATGAAAAATACATTCCTTTTACTACTATTGGTGTTTCCTCTGATGTATTTTTGTAACAGCAGCTTTTGATCTTATTTGATTCCATTCATGGTCCTTGAGCCCTGCACATTCCCTTTCAACTCAAAGGAACACCTTTGCATGTGTCAACACAGTCATCATTGGTGTACAGGTCAGGTTGGATCTGCTCCTAAATCTTTTTCTTAGGATTCAGCTCCTTGTCAGGCTCTCCAGGGAATGCATCCAAGTAACTCTGTCTCCAGAAGCCAAGATTTCAACCTTCTCTGGTGAACTAGCACACATCATCATTGGTTGAGATAGGATTCCCCTCATCTTTGCATGTTTCAGGTCACAAAGTAAAACCACCATCCGATTTTGCATCTGTTCATATTGATTATGCCCAAAGCAGGCTATAAAGAGTTAAGCTCACAATTGACTTGGTTTGAGAAGGGAGTCTAGCCTAAGCCTACATGCTGAGGTCAGAATAACTAGCACCCAAATTCCATTCCCACAACTAAAACCTTCTAATTGGAAGGACAATGTTCTAATTACAACCATGTATTTTGTGTATTCTGCTCCTAATTTGAGAGTGCTTTATTTTGTCCTTTATGAGCCTTGTTTACATTAATTTCCATAGAAGCTGCACATAGCTTGCCTTTTCCCCAATTGACTGCCAATAAAAGTCAGTGCCTGGGACTGGCCAGGGCCTTTGCTGGCTGCACTGGCATTGGTTGTCCTGGTACCCCTTTTCTCTTAGTTCTGTCTTTTAGTTTTATTTCTCAGGCCTGCATTGTATACTGGGCAGGGGACTGGAATCTAACTGCAGAACATAATTCACCAGACCACTGACAACTGTTCTTGGACTGTTTATCCAACTACTTCTTCTACATACAAAGAACTTGCATCAGGATTTTTTTTTTGTATATCCTTTTATTGGTACATTTTAGGTGTACAATATAATGACATTCATCATTGGAGATATGCACCTTTACATAATCTCTTGGTTATTTTTTCTCCCTTCCCCTGCCCTCCCTTCAACCCCTCCATCCCTCCCTATTTACAAAGACTGTGTTTCCTTTTTTTCATTTTCTCATATTAATTCCATTCCCTTCTTTCCTTCCCCCTACCTCTCCCACTTCCCCTTCCCCTTTGCCCCTTTTTCTATTTCACATTATTATACCTTTTAGTCCTTATTTACACTTTGTTTCTCACACTAGAGAAACTATTCGGTATTTACACGTGTGCCCTATTTATTTCAGTTAAGAGTATCGCCTCAATGTGCATCCATTTAGCAATAAATGTCTCTAATTTCCCGTTTCTGATGACTGAGTAGTACTCCATTTTATTAAAAAAACACATTTTCTTGATCTAGTCTCCAGTTGATGGGCATTTGGGCTGTTTCCAAGTTTTAGCTATTACAAACTGTGCTGCTATGAACATGGGCACACATATATCACTGTGGTATGATTCTTTTAATTCTTTCGGGAAGATAGCCAGCAGGAGAATAGCTGGGTCAAATGGGACTTCCAGTCCTAGTTCTCTGCATTGGGATGTTTTTTGGCATTAATGATGAAACCAATTGGAAGATCTAGAGGGGAAATACCTATTGGCTTAGAGTCAGTACTTCCTGCTGAGGACAGCTGCTTTTTTTCCTTCTTTCCTCCAAGTTTCCCTTTCACCTTTTCTTTCCCTCTCTTTTTATATGTTCATTGGCACCAAAATATCGTTATTGGTGTAGACCTTACCACTTTTTCAGCAACCACAGAATTAGCTTCTAGTGGAGTTCAACATGGGCAGGGTATTTGCTTCACTCCATTTTGTATTTCTGCCTGAATAAAGCTGCTGTATTGGTTCTTCAATTTCTTTCTTCAGTTTATTTATTCTTCAGTACCGGGGATTGAACTCAGAACCCTGTGCTTGCAAGGCAGGTGCTATACCACTGAGCTAAATCCCTGGCCCTCGTCCTTCAGTTTAGCATTTTCAACTAAAAGTTTTTTCTCTTCTCTCAATGTTGCCTACAAAATTGCTTTCTCCTTCAGAAGAGCACTTTGCTGTTTAAGAGAAATAATTTGATCTGCGATTGGTCAATCGCTTGAAGAACATCATTGTGGATGATGCCAGTGCTCCTCGCCTAATGTTTCTTCGTCAGCCCAGGGGACCAGATAACTCAATGGGATTTGGTGCAGAAAGAAAGATCCGTCAAGCTAGTGTCACTGACTAACCACATCCACAAAGGACATCCTTAATCCACTATGATCAAGCTGGAGGGATTCTGGTGAAGGATTCTGAATATCTCCCTCTTCATCCCTCCCAAAATCTGGAAAACATTCTATTGAGCTATTATACCAGTTTTAACACCTTCCTCATGTTATGTTTTAAAAAATAAATAAATTTAAGAAACCAAAAAATAATAATAATTTGATCTGCCTCTATACCCTTCTTTCCTTTCCAGTCTCTTTAGAATAGCCTCAATGGTTGTCATTTTTCCAGAGAAACAGCAGAAAATCGTGACAAGGCAGACAATGGCTTCAGGGCAGACTTGGCCAAAAACAGGAAGCAACCAGAAGTCAGTAATTTATAGCTCATGAAAAAAAATAGTATTTAGGTAATATTTAATATAAATTAACTTTTATTCTTCAAGTATATTCCCTTGTGAAAAAATGAGGAATGGAGTTGGGGTAGATCAGTGCTGGGGCAAATTGGAAGACCAAATGTCATGTATCAGAAGTCATAGAAATCCACCTAATTGGCTGATCAAGATGTTTCTTAAAAAAGAGAACACAGATGCAGAGCACAGGACCAAAAAGACTCCAGGCTTATGGCTCCTGAGCATTAGGACCAATCAGAAAAATGCTATTCCTACTCTTTTATTTGAATCTAGCACTGTTTGCAGGACCAACTGTAAGATAGTATTCCCAATCCTTTATTTACATATGGGAAATATCAATCTAAACACTGTCTCTGATCCTTCATTTACAACTGGTGAGAGGACAAGCAAGTTTTTTAATAGCTCAATCTATATCCGGCATAAAGCCAAGTGAGTTTTTGATAGGACAACTGTCCCAATGCTACAATGAGGCAGGGCGCAATGCAGGTTTTCTGGATACTAAATCCCCTTTCCCTTTATCCTTTTGGCAGCCGTGAGCCTTCTTTACTGGCTCACTCTCCCCCTGTAGAGTATGCTTTTTCCACCTTCAATAAACCCACACCCTTACTCCCTTTTGTGGGTCCTTTGTCTAATTCTTTGTACAGGACACCAAGGACCTGGAAAGAAACTCTTGGGGACACCCATTTGGTAAAAATCTGAAAGAAAAGCAGTCAAATTTTCTTACACTTAAAAAATTTTTTATTTCCAAATTAATACTGTGGAATCTGCCTAGAAATATAATAGTAAACAAAAGTAAAGAAGGCCTATATGGATCTTGATTTTTTTAAAAAGTGTGAATTATAAAGAAATAATCTCTATCAAGCAGATTCTAAAATAGATTTATTTCTTCCTATAGGAATAGGCTAGCTAGTTAAATTAACAAAAATACATTCATCTAAAAGTTAACTTAAGACATTTTTAATATTTCAGATATTTCTACCAAAGTTTTGCATAATCTTTCAGTTTTCCATCAGCAAATAAAACCAGTGAAGCTATTTAAAGGATTTCTACAATGTACAATACCATGGATGCTTTGTATTTCTTATAAATTATGTAATGATGATATAATAATACTATTAAAGCTAGCATAATTTGGAGACTATTACTGAATTTATACTTTGATTTTTTTTTTTTGGTTTGGTTTGCTGTGTAGTTTAAGGTGGCCTCAAACTCATGGTGATCCGCCTGCCTCAGGTTCTCAGCTTCCTGAGTGCTGGGATTAGAGGTGTGTGTTTTTACAAAATGGAAAATTACAGTGATGGAAATTCCAATCAGTGCAGCGTTATAAAAAAAATTGACAGACAAAGTGATAATAGTATATTTAAAACCAATTTAAACATAGAAATAGGAATCAAAACTTTAAAAAAATGTATTAAGTTTACTGGTACATTTTAAGTATACATTATGATTACAATCATTATTGGGAATTTATACCTGTACACAATATACCTTGGTTCTTATTTCTCTTGTTGCCCTTCCCACAAGACAGCATTTCATAGGAAACTACAACTAATATAGTTTTCTTAAAGCTAGGTCTAAAAGATGATTAAATTAAATGAAGATAGAGACAGGTCTTAGCGTTATTTTTTTTAAATAAGTAAAGGAATAATCTAAAACCTTTTAAAATGCCATACCAAATGCATGCTTAATGGTTGTATCTACTTGAATAAACTGTGTAATGCCAGAAAATGAGGAAAAAATAAAATCCTGAAACAGTACATATTGATAAGGCACACAATATAAACTCTTACCTGTAATATACTTCCAAGTTGTTTATGAAAGAACTTTACAAACTCCTTACTCTCATCATTTTGCTGGGTAAGAGTTAAAACCATGCGTCTTACTGAAGTGAGAAGTTGAGAAGAGCATACATCATCCATGTGTTCCTAAGAAAAATCCTAGTTGGTTAGGATATAAACTTATCTATTATTTTAAAAATATCAACCTACATGATATAAAATTTTTCTTGCATAAATGTTTCTCATAAATTATAGATACACATTTGGAAAGATTTATTCATAAAAGCAGCCAAACTTCTCCCTTACACACACTGAGAGGTTGGAGGTTCAGCAATTTTCACTCATCATACAAAACAAAGGCCAGTACAAATTGGCCGATATATTTTTCATGAATTTCTTTCTGTACTAAAAAGAACTATCCATGCTATAGTTTCCATTTGCCTATATTCCTGTTTGCAAATAATTCAAATTACTCTTACAACCATACTTAAATTCTACCCAATCTTCTATTGATATCTAGTGCACTGAACAATGGTTAAAAGTGGAACACACCTAATCAGCCCGTGCCCTGGCAACACTACACTGGACCCCCCCACCCCGCTCCTCTATAGAGCCACCTGGTTCCACACTACAAAGATGCAGAGGACACCAGACCACCAGACCACGGTACTGAGTCGCGCTGCCCCGGCCCAGAGGTAGGGGCTTCTGAGCCACTGTCCCACTGCTCCTGGTCCAGAGGAAGGGGTTTCCCAGTCACCATCCCTCCCGCTGCTCCCAGCCCACAGGAAAGGGCTTTTGGGCCACCTTCTGTCCCACCTCTCCCGGCCGAGAGGTAGGGGCTTCTGAGCCACCATCTCTCCCGCTGCTCCCAGCCCACAGGAAAGGGCTTTTGGGTCACCATCCCTACCATTGCTCCCAGCCCCTGTCCCACCTCACCCAGCTCAGAGGAGGTAATCTGTGCAGGCACCAACAGGCCCCACCCCCAGTCAAAATGAGAAACACGTAAATAAGACTCAAAATCAGACTTCCAGATCACCTACAGCAACCCCAAAGGGAAATGAGATGGAACACTCTGATACTCAATCACCTGGACCCACTGAACTG